GTTTTAGCAGAACTCCTAAACCCAGGAAAGAGATGTGCTTCTTTATCTGAAAGGCAGCGTGACTGAGAGGGAGAGAGATCCTCTATCCGCTGATTCACTCTCCCAAATGGCTGCCAGGGGCCAGGAGCGCCATCCGGATCTCCCACCTGGGTGCAGGGGCCCAAGTGCTTGGACAATCATCTGCTTCCCACGCATGTTCGAAGGGCACTGGATCAGAAGTGGAGAGGCCAGGACCCTAACTGGTGCCCGCATGGCTTGCGACACTGCGCCTCAACCCTAGCCCCAGAGTGTACTTACTAAAAGGCAATCAGTAAGAACCCTGAGGCATGAGAGCTGCCTCTGCTTCCAGTTTACTTCCTTGCTCTTTTGTTGTGCAAAATAGAGAAAATCAGGACATCCAGATCGCAGGCATTGAAATAATGGTTCTTAAAGGGGCTGCGGGGGAGCGGGTAAAGCCCCCAGCTGGGACGCCAGCATTCCTTATGGATGCCGGTTTGAGTCCCGGCTGCTCCACTTCTGATCCAGCTCAGGACTAATGTGTCTGGGAAAGCAGTGGGAGATGGCCCAAGTGCTTGGGCCTCTGCACCCACATGGGAGACTCCTGGCTCCTGGCTTTGGCCTGGCCCAGCCCCAGCCGTTGCAGCCATCTGGGGAGTGAAGCAGTGGATGGAAAAAAATTCTCTCTCTCTCTCTCTCTCTCTCTGCTTTCCAAATAAATACATCTTTAAAAACATTACCAAGGCTGGTGTCGCGGTTCAATAGGCTAATCCTCCACCTAGCGGTGCCGGCACACCAGGTTCTAGTCCCGGTCAGGGCGCCGGATTCTGTCCCGGTTGCCCCTCTTCCAGGCCAGCTCTCTGCTGTGGCCCGGGAGTGCAATGGAGGATGGCCCAAGTGCTTGGGCTCCTGCACCAGCATGGGAGACCAGGAGAAGCACCTGGCTCCTGGCTTCGGATCAGCGCGGTGCGTTGGCCGCAGCGCGCCAGTCATGGCGACCATTGGAGGGTGAACCAACAGCAAAAGGAAGACCTTTCTGTCTCTGACTATCCACTCTGTTTTGGTAAAAAATTACCAAAAGGAATAGAATTTTTAAATTACAATTCGTATATTAGGATGAACCATATGGGATTGCCAATATCCCGACCTTTTCTCCCAAAAAAGCAGCCAGTTGGCACCATTTAAATATTAATAGCTAGTATTCGCTGTGTGCCAGGCCCGAGCTAAGCTTGGGAAGCTTGCGTTTGAAGGCACGCAGCCCGCTGTTGCAGGTAAGGGGTGCTGCGGGGTTCCACAGGCGACCAGAGCCTGGCGGCCCCTGCTCGAGACGGCATGGCTGGAGAATCCCGCTTCTGTGCCCCACGGCGCCCCCCGCCCGCGGCCCGGGACTGTTTGTTTTCCTAACGGGGTTAACCAACCTCCGGAGGAGCCTCCGCGGCACGGCAGGAACCCCGCCGGTGAAAGGGGGCTTTGTACGCGGGCGGCCGCAGCCAGGGCGGGAGCGGCGGGCCAGACGTGCCCGCGGGGCAGCTTGGCGCCCGGCCGCTCCCGCGCTCCGCCCGGGCCTCTGTGCTGCCCGCGAGCCGGCGGGGCCGGCGCGGGGGCCGAGGGCCAGGTGCCTGCGATGGATGCGCCGCCCGATCGGCAACAGGAGATGCACCGGCTCGTCGGGCTGCGCGGCCCCAGCAACCAGACAGCCTGGGGTCGGGGGCCTGGAGTAGTAGGTAGCCGGGGGTGACTGCGGAAGTCCGCGACCCGCGGGCCAAGGCAGAGTGACCGCTGAGTACCCCGAAGCAATCCTGGCTCAGCAGATTGACCTGGCACAGAGGCCGCTCTGAAAACCGCCGGCCCGCGGGACAGGGCCCTCCTCCCGCCTGTTCCACTCCACCGGAAACTGTTCTCCACTACCTGCTCTGCTCTCCAAGACACCACGGCGAGGGATCCTGCGATCCTGCCGGCCTCGCCGGGGCTCCGCGCTGCCGCGTGGCCCACGGCCACCAGTTTACTGCCCCACCTCTCAGCGACAGCTGCGCCCACTCTCACCTGTACCTGGGGATGAAAATCCACTGGGCTGAGGCTTCTCAGGAACACCTGAAAATTAACTAAATGAAGCAAGTGGAGACAATACGCAGAAAGAGAGAGAGAGAGAGAACCTCTCTCCCAGCAAGCTGTACTACCTAGACAGGTCCCCCTTGCTTCTCCCCTGAAGACCCACCCTCATCCCAGGAGGTCCCATCCCATACCTGGGAGAAGGCGGCTCAGGGAAGCCGGGGAGACTCTGACACAGGGGCCTTGCTGGGGTCCCCTTCTCCCCAGGCCACAACCATTAGGTCACAGCTTCTGTCCCGTCCTGCCTCCACCTGCGGGCCATTCATCCCTGACCTGTTCTGTATTTCTCTCGGGCACCTGTGTTTCATTACAAGAATGACAGCTGTGAATCAGAGGATAGGTGAGGAAAGGTAGCATACCCTTCTACCCCTACGAAGGCCTACTAAGTGCTGGGCACCGTGGAGACACACAGTAGGCAAACACAATTATAGGCTTGCACCATGGCAAGTGCACAGCTGGTGAAGCGGCAGGATTCAGGAGGGCAGCGTCTGAGTTTTAGGCTGAGTTTTAGGGAGGATGAGGACTAAGGAAGAGTGCTCCTAGGGGAGGACGAGCAAGTGCAAGGGCCCTGAGGCATGAGGGAGCTGTCAGGCTTAAAGAGCTGCAGGGAAGGCACTGAGGTAGGGATGTGGGAGAGGAGATGTGGTGGGAGGTGCAGGCTTTGCATCCTGGGGCACTCCCAGAGAGCAAGTTAGTCCTACCGACAATGGGAAGCCACTGGAAGGTTGTTTTTTGTTTTTTGGTTTTTTTTTTTTTTTTTTGGACAGGCAGAGTTAGACAGTAAGAGAGAGAGACAGAGAGAAAGGTCTTCCTTTTCCGTTGGTTCACCCCCAATGGCCACTGCGGCTGGCGCACCACGCTGATCCGAAGCCAGGAGCCAGGTGCTTCTCCTGGTCTCCCATGCAGGTGCAGGGCCCAAGCACTTGGGCCATCCTCCACTGCACCCCCGGGCCACAGCAGAGAGCTGGACTGGAAGAGGAGCAGCCGGGACAGAATCCGGCGCCCAGACTGGGACTAGAACCTGGTGTGACGGCACTGCAGGCAGAGGATTAGCCTATTAAACCGCAGCGCTGGCTATTGGAAGGTTTTAACAATGTCTTTTTTAATGGTTTTTTATTTATTTGAAAAGCAGAGTTGAGAGAGAGAGAGAGAAGGAAAGAGATCTTCCATCCACTGTTTCACTCCCTGAACGGCCACAAAGGCCAAGGCTGAGCCAGGCTGAAGCCAGGAGCTTCCTCCAGGTCTCCCACCTGGGTGCAGGGGTCCAAGCATTTGGGTCACCTGCTGCTGCTGCTGTCCCAGGCCATAGCAGACAGCTGGACTGGAGATGGATCAACCAGGACTCGAACCAGCACCCATATGGGATGCTGGCGCTGCAGGAGGCAGCTTAACCCAGTGTACCACAGCGCTGGCCTGGAAGCAGAAGTCTGGGTAGTTTGTGTTAAGGGTGGAGAGGCGAACTCCTACCCGTGAGGGAGGCAAGGAAGAGCCGGGAGTCCGAGACAGCGGGGCAGACCGTCAGTGGGACAGGGTACCAGAGGATCCCAGGACTGCAGGAACTGGGGAGATGCTGTAGGCCCGGGAGGGCTGGGCCCCGGAATTTAGGGGGCCCGTGAGCTCCACAGAGGAAATGAAAGCACAGAACTTCCCCTTGCTTGGGCTGTTTCCCTTGGGAAGCCTTAGCTTCCTGATTCTGAGGTGTGGTGGGATCTGGAGGTGGACGGGCGGGGGGTGGGGGTCGGTGAGGTCCACTAGCCACTAGGGGTCATGCGCCCAGCCGCTCCAGCTCAGAAGCACCTCCGCACTAACAGGGTGAGATCTCCTGCCCCAGCCCTCAAGACAGGCCCTGTGCTTCCCAGGTCCCAGCCAAGACCGGCACGGCGTGAGCTCTTGGGAAGCAGCGCCTCCTCTCCCCGCTCCTCACGGGACAGCTCAGAGTGGGGCCAGAGGTAGCGGCACAGGCACTCCCCATGACCTCAGAGTTCTGGGGTCAAATCCCCCCACCCTCCCAGAAGGGTGGGCAAGAGCAGCCTGCTGCCACATCCCACAGGCCCTCTGCCCCCTGCCAAGCCCGCATCAGCGGCCATTAAGTCAGCACTTACTCCGCTAAGGGCTTAGCCAGGATCACCTCAATTTGTGTACACTGTCCCGAAGGAGGACATGGAAGTGAAAGCTAAGTTTATTCTGGTGCAAACAAATGTGAAATCCATTCATATGAGGGAGCGCCTCAAATGCATTTCGGATTTCAATTTTTGGTATAAAAAACCTTTAGTTCCACTTCCCACGAACTTTTGCCTTTAGATGACTATTACCTCTATTTAGCAAAGGTGCACGCAGTTCCTGAAATCCCGGCTGTCTGAGCCGCAGAGAACAGCTTGGGTCTCTAAATCGCCGCTTCCTGCAAAGCGGGCCGGCAGCAGGTTGGGGCTGAGAGCGAGAGTGGATGAATTCATGGGTGACCGAGTGAATGGGCGCCGCGGAAGTCGGACACGGGCGCTGGATTGCATCCAAGCCTTGCCCAGGCGTGGCTTCCGCTGGAGTCTCCAGGCCTAGATCCCAGGGGCCAGACCGAAAGGAGGGAAGGGGCTGGGGAAAGCGAGGGACGTCCCTGGTTGGCCCCAGAGCAGGTGCCGAGGTCCGGGCCCCGCCTCCACTCGCAGGCTGTGGCACTCAACAAAGAATAGGCGACGCCAGGGCTGCGCGTGTTCCTGGCAGCCCCTGAGCACTCGATCAGGGTCTGACGAACGCAGGGCTCCACCGAGGCGCTCCTCGCGCCGCGGACGCGGGCGCCGTGCGGACCCCCCGCTCCCCGCCTAATCGTCTCGGCGCAGGACCCCGCGGCGCGAGGAACGCCCGGGGCGGGGCCTGCGGGGCGGGGCCTGCGGGCCCGAGGGGCGGGGCGGGGTCCGCGCGCGGCGGCTGCAGAGTTCGGGCACAGAGCGGCCGGCGCCGGCGCCCCGGCGCAGATGCTGCAAGTTCACATCCCGTCGGTGGGGCCCGAAGCCGAGGGGCCCCGGCAGAGCCCGGAGAAAGGCCACATGGTGAGCAGGGCCGCGGGGTGGACAGGGGCGCGGGGACCCGCTGGAGGTCCTCGCCCCGAGCAGAGTGGGGACCGGGGCTCCCCGGGCTGGGCTGTCGGGGGCTGCCCTGCCCAGGGTTCCGGGGCTGCTGGTGCTCCCCAGCTATTGAGTGAGCGCACGAGCAGAGGGGCGGGGCCGCCAGCCCTTTTTTCTAAGGATGGGAAGTGCGGGAGGGTCCCCGGGGCTCTCCATCGGGGCCTCACGCGTGCCCCCCGCCAGGTGTTCCGAGTGGAGGTGCAGTGCAGCGGGCGCAGACACACCGTGCTTCGGCGTTACAGCGAGTTCCACGCGCTGCACAAGCGGGTGAGGCGGCCCCGCCCCCTGGCCGACCCCCTCCCCCCGCCCCCGCCAGCCTGGGCCCGCCCCGGGGAGGCAGAGGGGGAAACTCGGGTCCCAGCCTGGGCCGCCCCCGCTGCTGCTTCAGTCCCTAGAGGGCGCAGACCCTGCTGGGGGCCCGTGGCAGGGAGGGCGCAGGGGGCAGATCCCAGGCGACTGGCCGGGTCCTGGCAGGGGTGCGGGGAGGCGTGCGGAGCGCGGGTAGGCTGGGGGCTCCGTGGAAGGGCTGTGAGGGCACCACGGTAACCTCGGCAGATCAAGAAACTGTACAAAGTGCCGGACTTCCCCTCGAAACGCTTGCCCAACTGGAGGACCAGGGGCCTGGAGCAGCGGCGGCAGGGCCTGGAGGCCTATATCCAGGTGTGTGGCGGCCTGACCGGCGCTGGGGGACGCCCGCAACGCAGGGATGCTGCTCACTGCCTCGGGCTTCAGCTTTCCGCACGGCCCTCGGTGGTTGGAAAGACCGAGTGAGGACCGGGGGGCAGGTGGCGCCTGGTGCTCCCTTGCTACGGGAAGTGGAGTGGGGGGTACTTCCCAGGCCACCTGGGGGGTCCGGCCTGCGCTGTCCACCCCGGGTTTAATGCTCTGCTCTCCCTCTCGCGATTCTCCGGATTGCACTGGGCTCTGCACGCCGGCGGCTGCTGTCCTCTGTCCTCCAGGGCGTCCTGTACCTGAACCAGGATGTGCCCAAGGAGTTACTGGAGTTCCTGAGGCTTCGGCACTTCCCCACGGACCCCAAGGCCAGCAGCTGGGGGTATGGAGAGCCCGTGATGGGGGTCAGGGGCTTTCGGCAGCAAGCCAGCAAGGGAAGGTTTTGGAGGCCAATGTACTTGCCTGGTCCCCTCATCAGCTGTCTGGACCCACAGAGGGGCTTTTTCTGGACAGCCTTGGCTAACCCCAGCCACCTCCGGAACCGGCTGTCACAAATAGAAGCAGGGGTCCCCTGGGAGGTGAAGTTCTGGGCTTCTGCATCTCCACCCCTTCCTCACGGGCCCCGGGGCATCCCCCGGCAATTATAGGGCCTCTCTCCTCTGCTCCCTGGGGGAGCTCCTGCGGGGCACGGCAGGCAGGTCCGAACCTTTGGCAGTGACCGGCTCCTGCTCCCCCTGGTGGCCACAGGGAGGGAGGCGCGCCTGCAGCCTCGGGCCTGGCCGGCCTCCCCCTGGGCCCAGCCTTTCCTGATGGAGCCTCCAGAGCCCACATCTGTCACCTTTTCCTTTGTGGGCCTCTGAGGATCTCAACCCCTAGTCTCCATCCCTGCGGGACTTGGCCCTTCCCTTCCCCACTCCCTCCTGGCTCACGACCCTACTTCTTCCCAGCTCGCAGCTGCACCATCGGCCTGTCCTCAGCTTCCGCCTGGATCCCTACCTCTGTGCCCCCTCCCCAGGTGAGCTCCTCTGACCCGCGAGTGACCCATTCTCAAGGCCCAAGTCCGGGTAGACCGGTAGGGGCAGGCTTGCCAGTTCTCAGGACCCCTGGGTGGCCCCTCGCTCCTGCTGCTCTGTGCACCTGAACCTGCACTGTAAACACCAGTGAATGAATTCAGCCTGGTTCCCCTGGTCTAAAATTCTGTTACAACCCGGCCTTACCAAGCTGATGAAACTGACCTGGAATGCCAAGGCTTCATTTGGGGACACAGCTGCAGGAGCTCCTACTCCCCAGGGACGCATGAGCCGGTGGGCAGTGGCTCAGGGAGCCGCAGGCCTGAGGCCAGACCTGTCCTGCACCTCTCCGCCCACAGCCCTCCACCCCTTCTCCCGTTCTCCCCTGCAGAACCTCTGCCCAACATGGTGGTGAATGGTGTGCTCCAGGGACTCTATGGCTTCAGCATCAGCCCCAGCTCGGCTCAGCCAAAAGCTGCCGGTCACCCTTCTGCTCTGCCGCCCACGCCTTGAGCAGCCACCCGCCGGGACAGTCGTGTGCCTCAGCCCCTGCGCTCTGTCTCAGGGACGTGGGCTGGTCCTCCGGTCCTGGTGCAGGGGTCGGCCTGCACTGGCAGCTGGGGTGGGGAGTTCACGCGTTCCTGGAGCCAGGCGCGAATGGTCAATTTCGAGGTAGGCTGTGACAGGTCCAGGTGTGTCTGCACTTGGAGAAGCAGCGGCAGTTTTAAGGCAAGGGCTGAACGCCGTGCCTGCCTACCTGCCTCTGTGGGAACACCTAAATCAAAGGGCCAGGCACCCATGGCGAGCAGGGAGTCCCCGCACGCCAAGAACCCAGCCCACACGCAGGTTATAAAAACCCCCCCTTGTTTATTGGTCAGTGTTGGTAGGCGTTTGTTACAAAACGGGGCCGGTGGGCCTGAGGAATGTGAGGGGAGTGGGGCCGCTCCGTCCGATGCCAGCAAGGGCCAGTGCAGCTCGGAGCCCCGGGGCGGGCGGTCGTCACCCCGAGGACAACAGGCCCGCGCAGACACTCGCTCAGAGGCAAGAGGTCCCCGCGGCCCTACTCCTTGGCGATGGCAAAGGGCTTCTCCACCTCGATCTTGCCGCAGTCAGCGATGACCACATCCTTCAGGGGCTTGTCCCGGCTGTCCGTCTTGGTGCTCTCCACCTTCCGTACCACCTCCTGGCGAGGCAACAGGAGACAGGGCAGGTCAGATGCGCCACCAGGCAGGCAGGCCCCACATGCGAGCCGAGAGAGCCAGATTCTAACGGACCACAGGCAGGCAAGGGAAGCCAGACTTGGGGGGTGGCTGGGGACGGCACTAACAAGGGGTGTGTCGGGCCTCGTGCTCCTGGACAGTGCGGGCGAGAGCCAGCAGCTCCCCAGGTGGACGACGGAGCTCAGGACCCGCAGGCATGCAGCTTCAGCAGGGTCTCCTGGCTGGGCGCCGGGGGAGGCTGGACAAGCCTATGAAGCCTGCCCAGGTCAGCCTGTGGTCAACTTACCATGCCCTCCAGAACTTTGCCAAACACGACGTGCTTGCCGTCCAGCCAGGCCGTCTTGACTGTGGTGATGAAGAACTGGGAGCCGTTGGTGTCTTTGCCGGCGTTGGCCATGCTCACCCAGCCGGGCCCGTAGTGCTTCAGCTTGAAGTTCTCATCAGGGAAGCGCTCCCCGTAGATGCTCTTTCCTGGGGAGGGAGACAGAGCAGGTCAGGGAAGCTGAGGTGGCCCGAGCGAAGCAGACCTTAGGGGTGAGGACGCAAGGGCTCCACCTGGTCTCCGCGCCAAGTCAGGCTAGACTGGAGACCTGGGACGTCAGAGCCATCTGCTTCCTAGCCTCTGCTCAGAGCCGAGGGGGTAAGACCAGGTGGGGCCCAAGGCCAGGCTGATTCAGCAAACAGCTCACGTGTGGACTGCTGCGGCTGATCCGCCTGTCTTCCCAGGCACAGCTGGCAGGGGAGGGAGAGGCGAGAGAGGGTCTGCAGAGTCCAGGGCCTCTAATCAAAGAGGGAACACGAAATGCAAGGTGGCCGCGTGTGTGCAGCGCATCTGCCGGCGTGGGGCGAGGGCAGATTTCTACTCCACTGCCTGGTTTCACTCTGGTTCCAGGAACAAAGACAAAAGGCCTGGAGCAATGCAGCAGTAAAGGTCACTGTCACTGTCTCACGCAGCACCTTTCCACCTTACTTGTATGGGGGACCGTTTTGTCCCCAGTGCACTTATGTCCACCCTGTGGGTCCAGAGGAAGGAACCAGGCTGGGAGATGGCAGCGGCTGCTGAGATCCAGGGAGCTGACCCCGAGTGAGGAGCAGCTGGCAAACTGCAAACCCAGACAGACTCGTTGGAGGGGCCGGGTCACCTCAGCCTGTGTTCCACCTCGCACCCCTACCCCAGGAGAGGCGAGACTGCCATCAGCTCGCAGCAACTCCTGGCTAAGAGCAACACCCACCTCCCACCCCGCAGAGGCACAGTAGCACGCAGGTTTTTCCGATCCAGCTCCCTGCTAATGCGGCTGGGAAAGCAGCAGATGGGGGCCCAGGTACTTGGGCCCCTGCCACCCATGTGGGAGAGCCGGGTGGAGTTCCCAGCTCCTGGCTTTGGCCTGACCCAGCCCCAGCTGCTGCAGGCATTAGGGGAGTGAACCAGCAGCCAGAACGTCTCTCTTCTCTTGTCTCTCCCTCTTTGTGTCACTGTCATTCAAATATTTTACACACAGAAAAGTCCCCCTCATTTGAGGATCTTCTTTGTAAATCTGAACTAGCTACAGGATTTTGATGACTGCTGCCATTCAGAAAATCCCTAAACCTACCTCCTGCACGCCAACACTTTTCTAAGACAGCAGTTCCAAGCAAGTGGAAGTTCTTTGCTCTGACCTCCAGAGGTATTCCTGTGCGCGTTGCTTGGTGCTGTCTCTACCCCTGAATTTGTTCACCCTTTCCCGTCATTCCTGCTCACGCTTATAGTCAGCAGTGTGCACTAGAGACCTCTGCAGTCACTCCCATAGTCCCCTGTGGGCAGGAGCTGGGCGCCCTGTTTCACAGACGGCGCAGCTCGGGTTGAGGGAGGTGGCAGGTATCCCCGCTAAGAAGCAGCACGGCTCCTGCCCCGTCCTGGGGAGCAGGCCCAAGCCACCCCACCCACTCCCCTTAGCGGTCTGTGTGCTTCACCCACTGTTTCCCCTCCAGCCCCTCAGGGCCACGCCCAGGCTCCAGGCTTCTGCCCTCTTCCCACCCACCCTGGCCAAGCCATGCCACAGAAAGAGCAGGGCTCCCCTCTTAACCCTGGCTCTTGCTGGCACACCCAGGACCCCGGTCAAGTCCTCCCTCACACTCCTGGTCACCCTGGCCTGCAGCGACTCCTCTGCATGTCAGCCCTTCCACAACGGGCTGGGCACCCAACCCCACGGACCCCAGCCAATCCTCCAGCGCCCTCTTGGACACCGCCACACTTCGTCAGGCCTGCCTCGCGCCCTCCTGCCCACTGCCGCCTCAGCCTGAGGTCAGTCTCCTGTGTGGCGACTCAGCTTTCGGGGTTTTTCTCCTGCTTCCCAGCTACACACTGAGTGACTGGACAAAAGCTGCACCACGGCCCCCTGGTGAGGGTGCAGGTGCTGCCCGCACCTCCTCCTCGCCCACCGCGGAGCCTGGGCTATGCCACAGCCACGGTCTGTGCGCCAGCCCAGAGAGACCGGGGGCTAGTGCAGGGCATCTATGGGGACCAGTAACGCGAAGGTGAGAGCCAGCCTTGCTCGGTGGTCTCTAGGGGGAGACCGCCAAGAAAAGCAACTTCTCCCACCGCTGCTGCAGCTTCCAAGGTGGCCGGCACAGGCCCTGCACGCCTGACCCGGAATCGCCTCCCCCTGCATGGGCACTCTGCTGCCCATCCCTCTCCCCCTCACCTCCTAGAGGCAGGGAGAGAAGTCGCCCCGGTAGGTCTGTCTGCCCCCACGGCTCCATGCAGGAGACAGGCCTGCCCCGGGGAACAAGGGACGGGGCCCCGCCCACCCAGCCCTCCCACCCCGACGACCCGAGGTTACCTCCTGTGCCGTCTCCCCTGGTGAAGTCGCCACCCTGGATCATGAAGTCCTTGATCACACGATGGAATTTGCTGTTTTTGTAGCCAAATCCTTTCTAGAGAAAAGGGTGAGAAGCTCAGGAGGTGCGGCACGAGGCCGCAGCTCCGCTCACAGTCGAGGCACCGCTGCTGGCCACTCCGATGGTTCGGTGTGCCACCAGGCAGCACCCGAAAGGCTGGGACGCCGCAACCCTCTGCCTGTGCAGAATTCCTAGACCGGACGCAGCCCTTTGTCACTGGATCCCTTTCCCCTCTCACTTCTGAGCAGAACGGATGCAAGAAGATGAACCCTGCCGCGCAGGTGGGAGACCTGGACTGAGCTCTGCGACTCCGGCTTCCATCGGCCCAGCCCCAGTTCTTGTGGGCATTAGGGGAGTAAACCAGCAGGTGGAAGATCTCTCTATGCTTTTCAAGCAAAAATAAACTTTTTTTTTTTTTTTAAGAGAAAACACCAAGAGCTTTTGCTTGGTCAAATGGGAGTTAAATACAAATTTTACAAAACGGGGCACTCTTGTTTCCTTGAAACTCGGTGCCATCTAGGTGGTGACAACTCCCAGGGAAGTGCCAGGCCTCTAACTCCTAAGATGACAACACTGGGGTCCCCAGGCAATGATCAGCTGTACTCAGGGCTCTAATGGGGGGGTGCTGCACCCTGCAGGTGTCTGCTGCCAGCTTCACCCCAAACACTTACCTCCCCTGTAGCTAACGCCACAAAATTATCCACCGTCTTCGGAACAGTCTTTCCAAAGAGACCAAAGACCACCCGGCCTACATCTTCATCTCCAATTCGCAGATCAAAGTACACCTGTCAGAAAAGACCACTTCAAAGTTAACCCCAGGCTAGGGCAGGGAGGGCCCAAGAGGCTTCTCCCGGGAGAGGGGAGAGAACTGAGCACTATCCTTGGAGCAGTGATTCTGAGTCTGCTTTTGGTGCAGAATGCTAGGATTAAAAAGCCCCTTGAAGAGGGGAGCCCAAGCCCGCATTTATAAGGCTGTTTCCTTGGAATCGTCCCGACAGATGTGCCCTTTCACCCACCCCGGCACTGCAGGGTATCTGCAAAAATACCACTGCTTTGAGGCTGCCAGAGCCGGCCCCCGCCGGGCATGCCGGACTCCAACCACCCCCCAGGGTCAGGGCAGGGGCCGGGGGTGTCGCAGAGGGTCCGGGTTACTCTCCGGTCGTTACAGGCGGGACGCCGCGGCTGCCGGGGGGGTCACAGCCGGAGTGTAAGCAGGCGCTGAGCCAAGGCCAAGGCCGCTCAGGCCCAAGCTCCGGGACCCTCCGTGCCTCGGACATGACTGGCGGGCGGCCAGCGACGGAATCCCAGGCGCGGGAGGCCGGGCCTCGCCAGGCAGGACAGGAGAGAGAGACAGGAAGCCCAGACCTTGACGGTGACTTTGGGCCCCTTCTTCTTCTCATCAGCCACCGAGGGTCCTGGCAGCAGCAGGAAGAAAACGGAGGCTACGATGAGGGCGGCGGCAAACAGCACCTTCATGTTCCGCTCCGAGAGGCGCAGCATCCACCGGCAGGGGCGAGCGCGGCCGGGGCAGCCAGGACCGGAAGAAGGCGGGGCCGCGGCGGCGTGGACGCCGGCGCCGCCATCGCGCGGGGCGGGGTGGGGGGGGGCCGGCGCGCCTCCGGGCCTCCCGGCGGGAGGCGGGCCCCGTTTCCCCCCTCCGGCTCGGCGCCGGGTGGTAGGGCCCCGAGGGGGCGGGGCCCGGCGCGGCAGGCCGGCCCGGCGGAGACGCGGACTCGTGGGTGGCTGCCACGTTACTGAGGCCTCATTGGGTTCCCAGTCGCCCCGCCCGCCCACAGGAAGGCGGTCAGCGGAAGGCGGTGCCCGCGCTCAGGGCGCAGGGATTGGGGCTCTGCAGAGACTACGAAGCCCCGCAAGCCTAGCGGCCGGGCTGGAGGCGTTGCCCGCGTCGCGGCTCTGTGGACGCGGATGGGGACGGAAGGCACTGGTCAGTCTATTGGGCTAGTCTACCCGCAGTCACCCTGGAGTGGGTGCAAGTGCGGTACCTACTCGAAGGGGGCATCTGACCTTATCCATAGACCTCATCTAGCCAAAACCCACTTCCGTTTTTCCTCGACCGCCCATCCCCATCCCTTCTCGAATCCCAGCGTGCTCACTGCCATGAGTTCATACATTTTACTGGGGTTCGTAACTTCCTTTCTTGTTTTCCCAGACTTCATTTTTTGCAAGCACTTGATGTGCATACAGCTCTCAGCACTGCCGGGGGACCACGCGTGCGGTACTAGCTGGCACAGCTCCCCACGACAACGCTGAGGGTGGGGGGCAGAAAACACACACAAAGGCTTCAGGCTTACAGCCGTCAGCTATCCCCACAGGGCCACTTCAGGTTTTCACACATACATTGTTGGTACAGTTTGATACAGGGAGCCTTACACATTCACAAAAATGAAAATGACTCATTCATCTCTATACAATTTGTATCTATAGTATTGTTAAACGTCTCAACTAAATTTCATATTAACTCTGAAGAAATTCCAGGGGGTCACAGCCTGGATTGCCATTTCCCTATGCAATCTGGCCTCCGCGTGACGTGCCGACCCCAGGTGGAATTAGGCAGGGCTGCAGCTATTAACTTGGCCTTCCTTAATCTGATGTCGCTATAGTTGCAATTTCCCTATCCTTGCTTGCACCTCAGTCAGGTGATTTCTCTAGGTAAAAGCATGACATGGACAAAGATGGTCTTCCAAATCCACCTTCTCAGCCTGTTTCTTTACACCTCTCAACTGACGACACCCACAGCCACTGAGAAAAATGTTTGCCAAACTGTTTTCAATAGTAGCCTCTTACCAAAGAGGAGCTAAAGCTAACATGGCATCAAAACAGCCTTTCCCTCCACCACCACCGTTTTCAGAAGAAAAAAATTCAGGTTGATGGATAAAATACTATGTGAAGCTTTTCTCTCGTGATCTTAAATGTGTTTTTTGCTCCTTCTTGCCTACCAGTTTTTAAAAAAATCGCTTAGTAATATAAGAAACTGGAAAGCCAATCATGCCTAGGTTGGCAGTTTAAAAAAATTTTGACAGGGAGTGAGAATGAGAGAACATGTAAGCACATGAGGGCACTCCCTCGCCTGCTGCTTCCCTCTCCAAATGCTCACAGCTGCCTGGCTCAACTCAGGAGAAGCCTGGAACTCAATCTGACTCTCCCACGCAGGCGATGGGGACTCAGCTACATTGGCAGGAACCTGTGGAGCAAGGAGTCAGAGTTGGAGCTGGGTACTGAGCCCAGGTACTCCAACACAGAATGTGGACATCTTACCCAGCAACTTAACTGCTAAGCACCAGTCCAAAGGACTATTTTTCTTTTTCAAGGCTTATTTATTTCAAAGGCAGAAATACAGAGAGGAGGAGAGGAAAGAAAGATCTTCTGTTTTTGCTGGTTCACTCCACAAATGCCTGCAAACAACAGGGGCTGGGCCAGGTCCATGCAGGTTTCCCTTGTGGGTGGTAGGAACCTAAAGACTTGGGCTATTATCTGCTGCCACCCAGGTGTATTAAGAAGCTGGATCAGAAGCATAGTTAGGGATGGTGCTATGGTGTAGTGAGCTAAGCCTCCGCCTCCGGTGCTGGCATCCCATATGGGCGCAGGTTCGTTTTCCGGCTGCTCCTCTTCCGATCCGGCTCTCTGCTATGGCCTAGGAAAGCAGTGGAAGATGGCCCAAGTGCTTGAGCCCCTGCACCCACACAGGAGACCTGGAAGAAGCTCCTGGCTCCTGGCTTCAGGCCAGCCCAGCTCCTGCTGTTGTGGCCATTTGAGGAGTAAACCAGCAGATAGAAGATAACCTCCTTTCTCTGTCTGTCTTTAAAATAAATCAATAAATCTTTTAAAAATAAATGAATGAGGCCGGCGCCGCGGCTCACTAGGCTAATCCTCCACCTAGCGGCGCCGGCACACCGGGTTCTAGTCCCGGTCGGGGCGCCGGATTCTGTCCCGGTTGCCCCTCTTCCAGGCCAGCTCTCTGCTGTGGCCAGGGAGTGCAGTGGAGGATGGCCCAGGTGCTTGGGCCCTGCACCCCATGGGAGACCAGGAAAAGCACCTGGCTCCTGGCTCCTGCCATCGGATCAGCGCGGTGTGCAGGCCGCAGCGCGCTGGCCGCGGCGGCCATTGGAGGGTGAACCAACAGCAAAGGAAGACCTTTCTCTCTGTCTCTCTCTCTCACTGTCCACTCTGCCTGTCAAAATAAATAAATAAATAAATAAATAAATAAATAAATAAATAAATAAATATTGAGAAAACCATAGTAGCCAGGATTTGAACTGGCACTCTGATAGGAGTAGCCACTTAACTTGCTGCACCACCACACCTGCCCGCGAGTATTTATCTCTGAAGCAACTCACAGGAGAGGGCAATGCTTGACCCAAATGAATGAGGCAACCCCGCCCAAGCAGGAGGCATGATATTCGTTCATGGGAGCCTTGAGTCACACCTAAGTTGGTCCTATGGGATTCTCCTTGTTTTAAACTTTTCAAATATCCCAACTTAAAAAATAATTTATTTTCATTGTATTTGAAAGATGCAGAGATAGAGGCAGACGCCTTCCATCCACTGGTTCACTCCGCAAATGCCCGCAGCAGCTGGGGCGGGGCCAGGCAGAAGCCCTCAGTGCACATTCCAAATCTGTCTCCCTGTGGCGGCAAGGCCACGCTTGAGCCATCACCCCTGCCTCCCAAGATGCACATCTGCAGGAAGCAGGAAGCTCCTGAGCTGTGCCAAATGTCTGCCCAGCCAGACTGTCACGAGTGAGCCAGAGGCGACCAAAAACAAACTAATCAAACAAATGGGTAAAAGCCAAGAAAGGTAAGACATTTTATTTTACATACAAAAAGGGTGCAAACTGAGTTTTTCCTCCCCAAACTGGGGAAGAGGTATACTTAAAGATCACATTTTGTGTTTTCCATGGTGCCCTGGGAAATGGGCTGCTGAGATCACATATCAGGGCCCATTTTCCATTTTCTTCAAAGAAGGCTACTTCCTCTCTGCAGAGGAGTTTTTCCTAATGGTGTACAAGTCTCTCTCCTGGAGGAACCATTTCAAATACACTTGAAATTGACATTCATGTTTAAAAATACTACAAGTTTCATTTTCACAGCTGAGCTTTGCGACCAGTGCCAGGATTTATGAAACATTACATACCTAAATAATAATAATAATAATAATAATAATAAAGGTAAAAAAAGGCATTTAACAATAATCAGACACATCCATACATCAATTAAAACTGATTTCCACAGCTGATTTATACATTATCTAGTCTTTAAAAATTGCAATCAACATCCCAACATCTTTTTAAGAGTACAATGGGCAAAGATGAAAGAAACAAATAATAATATAATAAATTAGAGCATGTAAAATATCCAATGAGAATTGCTGAATGAACATTATTATTTTCCGTGGGTGGGATTTTTTTTTTTATATTTTTGGTTTCATCTATTTTCTCCTGTGTTTTGCTCTATGCCTGGTAAGTGGGGCTCACTCTCTGAATGAGCTTGATGAGACACTAATCCGAGAAGTTCACTTGTCACCTGTCCATCTCAGAATACTCAGGAACACACAGTTCCCAGTAACTGTGAATCTTTATGGAAGTGAAATGCATGCAGAGGAGTGTGCGCGCGCACACACACACACACACACACACTCTCTCTCTCTCTCACACACACACATACTCACACACCTCCATCTGTACATTTATTCCCACCCAGAAATGGCTCGTCATTCCTGAGACACTCCTAACAGACGAGTACACCTTTTACAAAGCCTTTCAGTACACAGGCTGACTTGGGATTTAGTCTGGAGCTCATGGAGAGGAACAGTGACAATGTCTCACTTGCCCTGACAGAGAAGCCGGGGGGTCAGGACAGTGTCCTCTGGTGTTACTGGCGTGCCTGCACTGCACTGCCATTTATTGCCAAGGGGAACCCTCTGCTCTGAGACCTTAAAGGTGGTGACGGCACCAGAAGAGTGATTGTGAGGGATAAAAGAAAAATAATGAAAGAACTTCTGTCCACACACTGAGCTTTCGTTACAATATACATTGTTTGGTATTCAAACTAGAAATACATGGAGTAATTGTCCACCTCTTCCTTTGCAAGCTGATTTACAAATACTGGAGTGGGTTTTCTGGTTGCTTTTTGAGAAAGTATGTCAACTACTATTATCTATAAGCAGGGTATCTACTTACTATTTTGAATACAATGAAAAAATCTATTCTTCTGCACTTAGTCACCTGTAAAAGGAGTTAAGAAACACCTACTTTTAAAGACTGCTTACTGGATCAAAGACCTCCAAGATCTGTGGCTAAAACATTGTTCAAAAGTCTACAAACCCACAAAAGGGCTATGGTTGCCTTTTTTCTTACTCAGAAACCAAACTACCTCCCCCTTCAAGAAGGCCAAGCCCAAGCCCAAACCCAAAGGTAACCCAACCTGATTCCTACCAACCCATTCTGAGAAGACTGGAGCCCCCAACCATCAACCTCTAGACAGGACTTGCCTGGAATCTGCAAAAACAAGAATCCCAGACGTAAGTGCCTATCACCTACGGGGCCAGCCACACGGGGTGCCTAGTTAGCCTGCTCCCTGAGGGTTTCTGGAACTCACGCCTCTTGGGGACAATGGTGGGGATGATGACAGTGGCCAGGAAAGGCAATGTTGGCTATATGGCGCTGAAAATTCACAATCTGAGAAACTCTAGCCCTCATGTGGTTCTGACACTGGTGTCAAGGTGGACAGGGTACCTCAAGAGAATGGAAAATTGACTTAAATATGAAAATGCAAAATGTGGCTGGGATGTAGGCGCCATGCAGGTTTGGCAAAGATGCACGGGAAGATCAAGTTGCTTTGAGGGGATGCTTTCTAGGCTGCTGTGGAAGTTCTTATTTTTGAGAAATGCCGGCCATACTAGCTCAGTGGGATGGGGAACCAATTATACCCTTTGCATAAGAAAAACAAGTTAAGGCTATGATCTTTAGTAACCACCAGCAAAACAATACCATCATTCTGTAATTTTGGAATTAAAAGTGGTCACTAACACTGAAAATCAGCACTGAACATGCACCACCAGTGTCTAATTCCACTGAACTAAGTGGGAGGTTACTTTAGACAGGTGATGGATGCCTTTCTGGCTAATGATCAGGGGCTATTTCTATGGACTTGGAGTTCAATCCCTGATAATATACAGGTAATCCCTACTAGAAACCTCAGGATTTCTACTGTGCAGTATAGCTCACACATTCTAAAGTAAAATGGAATTTTAACTGTAGCTCACCTCGCCACCTGCCTAGTACCTTCCTCTCAAGACAAACCCCAAATAGCAGAATGTTAATGAAGGCAGTCATGCCCGCACACAGGCTGCTGGGTGCTCTGTCCACCCTTGTGGAGCAGTCTGGAGAGATCTTGGGACAGAATCAAGGTGTGCACAGCAACTCATCAACCCTAACATGTGCAGCCCCAAGTTATACTCCGGTCACAGGGGGAGGACCCTTTATGCCTTGGTGGAATCCTGTTTTGCTTAGGCTGCACTGCCTCAGGCACTGGAGGACTTTGGGGAAAATGCCTAATGAGAATATTAAGGTGTGCTTTTTCCTATTTTTTTAATCAACAGATGTTGAGTTAGATTTAGATTTCAGGAGCAATAACCGCATCAACCTCAAAGAAAAAGATCCTCAGGCTTCAAAGCTGTGAAATGGGGACGGCTCCAGCCAAGTTGGGGTGGGAGGGTGAGCAGTGGGAAGTCCCAACTGCAAGCATCGTGCTAGGTTACTGTGGCAACAGGGCTGGCATGTCACTGCTGGGGGACTCAAGGCTTTTGAGGGTTGTTGTTCTTACTTCTCAGGATGATTCCATGAGAACCTCGCAGGTCTGGGACCGCCTACCACGGAGTGCCACCTGGCAGGATTACCACTTTACATGCTGCAGGGACTTGGGGCTCCTCACTTGTGTTATGAAAACCAAACATCTAGTCAGAGATTTGCAGGGGTTGCAGGGTGAAAACAGTGCATTAGGAATGACCCTTCCCCCAAGTGCTTGGGCTCAACCTCATAAATGCCAGCCTTTTAAAAGGTTTAAGACAAAAATTGGTTGTTGCCTTCGTTGCTCTGTAAAAGTGGGATGGGGGAGGCACTTAGTGGGGCATCAAATGCCAGGATGCTGCAGGCTTTGCCACAATTCGCCCCTGCCCTCCTTTAGAAGAAATGCATTTTCTACATAGGTTTGAGGAAGTTAAAGTTTCTATACAGAAAGCTGGAGTTACCTAAATGCTGCAAATTTCAGTGATGGGACTTCAACCACTAGGGAATGGCAAGGAAACAAACCTCAATATTCAAAACCCTTGTGGGGAAGGGGCATGCCACTGTCTCTCCTTGCCTGTTTCATATGCACAAACACTTCTTTTAAAAACTGACAGACTGCAGTCCTTATGTAATTACTAAGCAGGCTGGAAGCCACGGAAGTGATATTCCATAGCCAAAGTCCAATGGAACAGGTGAAGCCCAGTAACTCTGATTCATGCAAGTGACACTATTTCTGCAAGTTATGTCAAAGACTTGTTAGGAAATGCCAACCACCAGAAAGTACCACCACAACCTTGTTTGGAGAAAAAAAAAAAAAGCCCTACTCTTCAAGCCAGAGGCCAAGATTTCTGTGCACCATGAGCCACCAGAGCAAGTCATTAGCCCCTGCACTTCGCGGTTAGCTCTCGATTCAGATACAAGACCACATTCTCTGATGTGAGTCTTTCCCTTCTGCCACATCTGGAATGACAAGTCACTGTTTGGGTAAGCCACTGAGAAATGAACATCGAACATGAGCGGAGCAACTCCGTGCACTGACTTTTCCAACAGTGAACCAGAAACCAAGACCTTTCGCGGAAGGACTTCGTGTGAACACGGCACAGCGGGAGGGGAGGTGGACTGGGGAAAGCATGCGTGGCCATCTTACCCAGAAGGACTCTCTGTCCGACTGAGAAGACAATTTCAGACGCTTCATGTCAGTCTCCTTTTCCCTGGAATTCTCCAGCACCAATCAATCTTACCCTTCTGTTCACTGCAGCCCCAGATACTGAGGTACTGAGTCCTAAGCCTGTTGCTGTGGACCTGCTGGGAGAAGATCTTCACGGGCTTGGTTTCTGGGAAGGCAGACCAGCCCAAATGCTACAGCTCAGCTGTTGGGGCACACAGGACATACTGACTTTCTTTTCCTGGCCCATTATGCCACACCCTGAGGCTTCTCTGGCAGTTGGAAGGCAGGTTTACTGTCCTCTTCTTTTTGTCCACTAGGAGCAATATGGTAGTGGCTGTATCATCACTAATCTCGCCTCTCAAGTCACCAGAAAGTCGCATGGCTATCTAGTTGGAAGTCCCTGGCAGTGGAGGAAAGAGACATTTGGAATTTTTTGTGTTAAGCATCTCCTTCTCTGGGATGAGCTGTCTCCTGGTCACAGCCTGGCTTGGCTGGCGCATCCCACGGGCTGGAGAGCTAGGCGTTCAAACGCAGGCTGGCTAGGTCAAGAGGCTCTGGCAGGGACATTCTTCAGCAGTTGAGAAGATGAATGAAAATTCAAGTATGTTTCCTTGCCAGCCTGAGCGGTCACTCAGAATGACAGTTTGGCTTCTTCTCTTCCGTGTGCTGCACAGCACACTCTTCCCATTGAGAATGTCCTCTGGACCCATGCTCTCGGTGAATGGCTTGGCCAGCCCCATTCCCCTCAAAACAGAAAAAGTAAAACCCCCAATATAACCAGACACAATATGCATCTGCCACATTTTTTTTGTTTGTTTAAAAAAAAAAAAAAACTAAAAGTGCAATAAAGTCAGTTTTCTTTCCTTTGCCTCAGAACAATCTGCATTGTCCTGCTACCACCTGGAGAAAAGGATTTGCTTGCCAAGAAAGCTAAGGACGCCAACAGGGGACAGTAGACTGCGGACTTCTCACAGCTTGCGTCCTACAGTGTAACTTCACAGGAGGGAGGGAGGTGGGCCTGAGCCGTGGCCAGTGGGGATGGAGGCTGACAGGCACGGAGGAAGAGGACACCAGACACACACGGGAGGTGGAGAACGTCCTTCTCCACCCAGGTCTGCTTCTTCCTCCTCCTGTCTGGGGCTCAGCCCCAACAAGTTTCTGTAGGCAAAGCCTTTAGCTCCATAGCTTTTATGCTGGAGAAGGCTGAGGGTGGGGCAAGACCCAGGAGTAAACTAAGAGGAGGGAAGAGAACAGTAGTCCTTGAGTTTTTGTGAATGACACCTTCACTGTAAACAATGGGAAGGAGGGTCAACCAGGCGGTCCCAGGGGCAAGTGGAGGAGCAGCAGCTCTGGGACCTGCTCAGAGCCTTCAGCAGGTGGGACGGCCACGGACCCACTGGGCCCTGGCTGCCCACACTGGCTCCTTCTGGGGGCATCTGTTTTCTTCTTTTTGGTTTGGATCTCTACCCTCCCCCACAGAGGAGTCCCTTCCAATGAGAAATGGCAGGAGCTGCAGGTGCAATAGAGTCAGAGTCCCCAAGGCCTGAGGACTCCTGGGAGGCACTGGTCACTTGTGGCGTTGAGCAGTCTTCTTCCTTTTCCTCTTAAAGAAACAGCAGCACCTGGAGCACAAGGAACAGAGTGAGTCAGTGCTAGAGGCCGGCAGCTTCCAGCAGACTTGTGCCTGCTTCTGCTCACTGCAGGGGGTGGAATTTTCCGCCGATACCCACCCACAGGGCCACCCACCACCTATAGTGCACACTTTGAGGCAGTGGGCAGCCCCTGCCAGGAAAGCCAAAGGAAACAGCTGCTTGATTTCAGATCTGCAGCCATTCAACCTAATTAGTGAAATGCTGCAGGCTAGGTAATGCTGCAACAGGAATTTCTAGGAGGATGAAGGAGGGTTCTTTCCTAGCCTAACACCCAAGCCAGACAGTGAATCAAGGCTGGGGTCCTCAGGGCTGCATAAGAATAATCTGTATTGTCTAATCCTTTCTACTGAGGGCAAAATTATTTCATGCAACTCATTGGTCAGCACACAGGGTGGCTAACCACAGATGGAACCCAGGGAAGATCTCAGGATACTACCAACAAAGGGTTCCAGGGTCTCTCCATCCCTACCCCTAACCTCACCCAGCTATTTGGAGGAGGCAGGAGAAGACCTGATGCGAAGCCTGTGTGTCCACATCTCCAGGCTGAGATCAAGCACAACCCCACCTCTCTTCTGTAGGGGACCAGTGCCACAGCCCAGGGCTGGTCTGGTAGCAGGGTTCTTCCTAACTTAGCTTCCCAAGAGCGCCACTGCTGTGCCAGGTGAGGTTTAAGAACTGGCTCTGTTTAGGGTGGGGGTTGGGGCCTAGTCTCTTCATGAGCCCCCCAGGGGCTGCCCTCTGGGAACAGCCACACTTCACGCACACCCCTACACCTGATTATCCCTTCTCACTCTGTTTCTGGGATAGGGACCGAGGCTCTTGGTCACTCTGCGGGTGATGAGGGCTGTGGCAAAGCTGCTGCAAAAGGCATGTCCTTTCCAAGGAGGTGACACATGGGAGATGAGAATGTGAGGGGCAGGAGGAAGTGGATGAGTCAAGATGCCAGATGATGGAGGGGAGTGAAATGGGAAGAATCGCTTGGACTTGCTGGACCCTTGAAAGAGAAGCTTTCTGACAGAAACATCTCTGGGCTCCTGCCTACTCCTTGAAGGCTTAATGCCAAGAATATTTATATGGAAATAAAGAACAGTTGCTTACTTCTCAAACCTCTAAATCTTCCACTGCAGCTAAGATTCCTCTTTTTTTTTTTTTTTTAGTAGACCCTTTGGTACTTCTACATTCAATGGGCTGGTTATTAAACACTTGGATAGAAGCAGAGTCTGGCCCCCCGGTTAACACTCTCATTCGCATGCCTGCATCATATAGCACAGTGCTTGGGTTTGATTCCTTGCTCTGGTCACAATCCCAGTGTCCTGCTAATGTGCACCATGTAGGCAGCAGGTATGGACCAAGCAGCTGGGTTCCTGCCACCCACATGGGAGATACAGATTGAGTTCCCAACTCTTGGCTTTGGTCTGGTCCAGCCCTAGCCATTATAGGCATCTGGAGAGTGAACCAATGGATGGGGGTACACACTCTGTCTCTCAAACAAACTAAATAGCAACAACAACAACAAAAAACTTGGACGAAGTTTCTTAGAATGTAGAAATAAACATTTACACATACAAGGATGGGCTTTATCCATAGCTGAAGGAATCAAACTTGGGAATTTTGTAGAAAGGAATAGTTTCTTAAGAGGCTTGGACAAAAGATTTTCTGAATCAATGACATTTACGTAGTACAACTAATGGGTGTGGATTAATCACTATCCAAAGTTTCATATGTATTTGGAAACTGAATAAATTCTTTTAAATAAAAATAACCAGTACTTTTGACTGTCTACCATAGCCTTCAATGGAAACTCTGGCAAAATTAAGAAAAAATTGGTATTTTTCTATAAAAATGTTTCAGAAATGGATATTCTCCACGACGAATATCCTGAAGTTAATATTAAAGGAGGCACATTCAATCTCCTGGAGCACCGACACTGCCAGAGACTTACCTGTCCCCGCGTAACCACGCTTTTCAGAGGCACTGCTAACTTTAAGCCAGTTTCTGTTCTTGGGCTTATGGGAGGATGCTGAGATGATGTTTTTCTGTTTTTCAATAAAAGCAGCTGAAATACTGTTTAGGTCCTTGCAAAGTAGACAGTGACTTCTCTGTCATCTCCTTCTAGGCAAGTGGTAGCCTGTTGTGCAACCCTGAACTCACCAAACCGGAGGAAGCTGTGATTTGTGGGCTGGGAAGGAAGAACTGAGCTATTGGAAATCTGGAGTCCTGGATTGATTTTTGCCGGTTACTATAAAGCTTCAGCAATAGCAGAAGCTTTTAATAATTTCATCCACAAGAAAATAAGCCCCACAAGCAGCTGCTCTTCAACTCTGGTTTCTAGCAACAGGCCCTATTAAATTGGGTGAGCCCTGAGATAGGGCCAACTGGCTAACTCCACACAGATGGGTTACTCTCAAAAGGGAATGGAGGCAGGTGACAGACCCCTGTGTCTCAGGTTCCCTTCTAGCTAATTCTTTGACTGACTGGATGGCCAGAAGTTCCTAACACGCTGGAGTCAACATCGACCTGGTCCTCCCTGTTCAGAGGCCTCTGGGTACTCCTCCTCCAGGCGCTGACTTACCACCTTTTCCACACCTCTCCCCTACTACGTCCCAGCTCTCTCTCTTCAGCTAATCCCTCGCCATGTTCCTCTTCTCTGCCATCTTTGTACAGTCTTCCTTTGCCCAAAACTTGGCTTGAGTCCTAGAGTGTCCACCAAGTCTTCCTCAACCATCCCTGTCCACAGTGACCTCCTGCCTCTTCAGCTTCTGGAGAACACCACAAGTGTCCTGGAGGGCCCCATGTTCTGGCCCAGTGGGCGGAGCACCGGCATCCCATATCAGAGTGCTGGTTCCCATCCTGGCTGCTCTGCTTTTGATCCACCTTCCTGCTGATGCAGCACATGATGGCCCAAGTGTTTGGGCCCCTACCACCCTCATAGGAAACCTAAATAGAGTTCCTGGCTCTTGGCTTCAGCCTGGTCCAACCCTGGCTACTGTGGCCATTTGGGGAGTGAACCAGCAAATGGAAGATCTCTCTCTTTTTCCTTCTCTGTCTCTCTTTCTCTCTGACACTCTGCCTTTCAAATACGTAAATGGATAAATCCTAAAAACAAAGAATTAAAAAATAAGTGCCCTAGAGAACCTCTAGTTCCCTCATGTATGTGTGTTACTAAAGCTCCCTAGGGACCCTCTAGAGTTCCAGGAAGAGGGTGAGACGAGCACGTGAACAGGCAGCTGGGATTATGTGACTAATACCTCTCAGAGCCAAAACAGACCATTTGCAAAATGAATAGGCCAAATGTACTCTTTGATACCCTAAGGCTTCAAATCCTACCTCCGTAAAACCCAAATGTTACCTTTAATACAACCCTGTAGTAACTTCCTGTGGGCAATATGGCTTAGACTTTTAAGGCTCAAAAACCAGTGCCCAACCCAGTCACTGAAGACAAAGAGAAACAAGATAGTCCCAGAGGCTAGGAGACTATTGTCACCAATTAGAACATGACCCTAGGTGTGCAGACAACGTGGGAGAGTTGCAACCCCAGGCCTTCCCTGACTCACAAGTTCAGGAGCACTTGGAAGGTCACAGATAGTGACAGGGAGAATGGCTAGGGAGGGAGCCTATCTTACAGCAATAGTGTTCTTCACCACATTGGATTCTTTAGGGCTTCTCCTCCCACAAACCTCATGTTGTTCCTAAGGATGCATTCAAGGAGCTTTTTCAAGGAGTGGAAAAGACAAGCTTCAAAATCTCAACCCACTGAGTCAGCCCTGGCCCCCGACCCTCTCTCATAGGCATAAAGAAAAAGACAATAAATGAAAAACAAACAAAGCCACCCCCTACAACAGCAACAAAATGTCCACCTCTCCCCCAAGAAGAAGCTCTTGTTTGTTTGTTTGTTTTTGAGAGACTTCTACTGTACAGATGGAAGAACCAGCTGAATCCAAAAGAAAAGTCACAGATTTTCCCAAAGTAGCCAATTTCCAGGTTAGAGACCACATTGCAGAATGAGGGCTTATCTGGCACCAATACCATTCTCATGGCTGTGAGACGACAGCTGATACAATAACCCTGTCCTTTTAGCCTGGCCTCTATCCCTCTGATATTTGGTTATATTAATTTGGAAGAAAATTCAGTCACTTAAATAAAGTTAATTTTTGGATACTGTGGAATATTGCTTTGGCAGGAGGAGGCAGTGATGCAATGAATTTGAAAGGAGAAAAGGGATAGACTGATTCCTGGGTATAGGCCTGTCCCATCCCCACCTTGTGGATCTACTTCCCCAATTTGGATAGTTATGGCACAAGGACGTATATGGAAGCCATTCAGCGTTGCTAAGGTATTTCTGTTTGGCTTTGCCAATCCCAGCCTAGTCTGGTCCGCTCCCCTTGCATGTGGACTGGAGAGAGGGACTCACCACAGGTTGAGCATTTTCAGGCAGCTACAGAGTATGTAAAGAGAAAAACACAGAAAGGAAGAAAGAGAAAGAGAGAGATATTAGTCCACAGAGGTGAGATGGCAGGGAGTCCCTGTGAGCCATGCAAACATGCAGTATGTGTCTGTGTTTAGTTTCTCCCTCTGTCAAGGTAGGTGAATAGGTGCAGGCCACTTGGTTCCTTAGTGTGGAAGGGCAAGACTGACAGAAGCGTCAAGGTGCGAGCTAGGCCTGAGGAGTGAGGCAAAACAGAAGGAGCTGTGGGAGCTCCAGGGTGGCCTTTCCTACGCAGCTTCCAGGAAGGCAGCGGGAAAGAGCAAATGGCTCGGCCGGTAACCAGACATCAACAAGTACCAAGGCTGAGCCACTTTAATTCCCACATGAAGTCTTACTGGGCAACAGCAGGCTAACTGCCCAGTGATTCTGAGGGAAAAAGAAATCCCTTGCCTTTCTACAAGTCCAACATGCCTGGTCAAAGCTGCTAGCAGGTAGCTCTTCCACCAGACAGCGAGAAAGGCTTAAAAACACAACACTCTTTATCTTATTAGATGAAGCAGAGGGAGGTGGGCCACTGCTCTGAATTAAGGTTTAACTGCCAGAGAAGAGCCCAACGTCTACTCATGTTAATTCTTAGGATAAAGGTCCATATTTGTTAAGTTATAGCTAAAATCTGGACAATCAAAATTCCTGCATTCTCACTATAACAAAAATCAGCCAAGAAGCTGCCTGCCCTCAGCACCCTTCCAAGGGTGTTGTCCTGAAGGGGGAGAAAAGTCAGTTCATCATGCACACAGAACAAAAATGAAGACCCTGTTCTTTCTTTCCACTCTCACATAAAGCAAGCTGTGCAAAGACCGCACAATCAAAAGGTTGGAAGTGAAGTTTTCACACGTCTCTGCAGGACCCGAGTTGAGTTTCAATATCTGCTGCAGCCCCCTTTATCCCACAAACAGGCTGCATGAAATAACAGCATCACAGCTGTATGCAATGCAGGGTTGCTGAGGATGCCTCGTGTTTCTCTGGCTGCGACTTCCTCCCACGGAAATGACCCATCAAGTAGAAAGTCAAGAAGAACACATGGCTGCGCCCTGACATTTCCCTGTGCAAAATGGACTGGGATGATATTTGGTCAAATACAGCTGCTCCTGCTGGTTTCCACAACTTTCAGAAGGTCCACACGTGGAGCTAGCGGCAAAGAGGCATGGTGGTCCTCTAAATGGGAAAGCTTCAAACTCTTCACATTCCAGCGTTTGGATGATGGCAGAACAGAATTCACCAGATTGAGATCTCTTTCTGCGAATGCCCCCTTATCTTACATGTAGGACACAAACACCACACTCACATACATAATCAGTGTAAACATTTATCAAAATGAAAAGAGATGAATGGGTCAAAAAATTAACCTGTACAGGGCATATTTCAAGACTAATGCCCATTCAATCTTGTTATTCAACACACCATTAAATTCAGAGCTGAACTTTTAGCCTTCAAAGTAATAGCCACAGAGGGTGGGAGTGGGTATGGCCATCTTTTAAGCAAAGAAAAGGTTCAGAAAAGACCACCTCTAGTGCAGTGGTTCCCAGCCTTGGCGATCCATTAAAATTACCTTAGCTTCTACAATTCCTGATGCTCAGGCCACACACTCATAAATTAAACCAGAATCTCTAGGGCCAGGCTCAAGCATCTATATTTTCCCATGTCCCAGATGACTTCAAGGTGCAGCCAAGGTTGAGAGCCCGAGGGTAAGAACACCACATAAAGGAGAATGCGGTTTTGTCATGGAAACAGAAAAACTGTGAAATCTCCAAAGTCCCTGAGAATGCAGAGTGTGTTTCTTTTCATCTCTTCTCCTTGTATGCCTCCTCCCTGCCTCATGCAAGCTGGGAGAGCAGAATCTGAAGCGCCCCACAGTTAGGGGAGGCCAGACAAGAGAGACTCTAAGTCACTCCCAGCTGCCTTGTATCTACTTGGGAGAAATCTTCATGTGCTGGTTTTGCAAGGAAAGGACTTCTTGAAGGCAAGATGAGCGCATCAAATACATGCAGGAGAGTGGGGGAGTGGGCAGTGGGTCAACCCTGCAAAGTGCACCTGGAAGTAAGAATAACGCAGGTCTTGGCAGCTCTCTCACTGACTTGTCTCTGGAGGCGTCTGCACATTCTCACTTATATGAGGCCACCTAGGCACTCAAGAGACCATTTAGCCACAATATCACCACAAATATGTTGCTTGCTTCAGAGAACAAGATATTGGGAATGCAGGCTGCAAGAAAGGTCATCCGTATCAGGGTTGGCAGCAGTTATGGACAGACTCCAGATGTCTCTCTCCCTACCTGATGTCTTCTTGGGAATTTAAGTCTTGATCTGAATTTGGGATTGGGATAAACTTAAAGTGGTGGAAATGCTGCTTCTGCAGCAGAATTGGAAGTTACTTCACCTTCCACCCCAGATTCTTAAGAGTTTAAACACAGACCATGCAGAAAGCACCAAGGGGCTGATGGTATGGGTGGGGCAAGACAAACACATGCAAGAGAAGCACAAAAGGGCTTGAGGAGGCTCCTCGCTCTCCTGGGAATAATGTGACTCCCTTGCCTTCGCAAGACCTTCTCACTCACAGGTGCAGACTGTTTTTCTTGCCTGACTTGCTTAGTCTCTCCAGAGACCACAATCACTTGAAAGAGGGCAAAACGGCCCTGAGACCCTTGTTCCAGGCCTATATACCCAGAGTTGTTAGCCAACAACCAGAACTCTAATGTGGCTCAGCACGCCCTATGGTTTAACAGCCGACATTCTCTGCATCCTATAGGGAGTAAGAAGCTCCAGGGCCCCCAAAAGGCTCAAGTATGTTACAGCCCTTATAACATGATTCTTTTGGTTTATGTCATTTCTCCCATGTGAACTAGAAAAATGCAACTGTCTTCCCAGAAATCACAGCTAAAGAGCAGCAGCAGCCTTAAGGTACCATGCAAAAAATAAAATGGTCAAAGGAAGGGAGCTGTGGACACAAGCAAGAGGAATCCAGTCTGAAATGGGCAGCACACAAACAGGAAGAGACAGAAGAGATTTTCATCCCGTGACTCAAGAGTCCCCTTGAAAGGTGAACGTACTTCGCTTCTTCCACTACCTCCACCTCGGCATGAGCTGTGATTGGTGCGTTGGAGTGGGCTCCTGTGGGGTCATCGACATTCAGCTCTCCATTGGTTGAGCTAACCACCTGAAACAGAAAGACAGAATGTGACAGGCACAGTGGCAGCATGAGTCTCTTGCCAGGATCAGAGACAGTCACTAAGGGAGACCTGGGCTTTAGCTGGGGCACTAGTCAGGCAGGCACTGGAATGTTTGTTTTCCTGGACTAAGGGGCTAACTGTCCCAATTAGGTAAAGGTTCCTAGACCCACATCATGTGGGGACAATACATTCAATGTAATTATATTATGGTAATAACTTCCAGGTTGAATGCCTACACTGCTACACTGTGTTTGTGTGTCATGTCAATTTAATCCTCAAAAGCCTTATAAATAGGTCACATCAATCTTTTTATAGATAAAAATAATAAGGAATGACTTAGGGTCTGTGGACTTCTATGAAGGAAATTTATTCTAACATTTACATTCTTTCATATTGCAAAAAGGCACAGAGCACTTTATTAAAATAACTCTGTATCTGATTCTAAAGTAAATCACTTTGCTCCCTCAACATCATGGGTAACTTGTACTGCTCTCAGTTCACTATGCTACAATTAAGCAGACTTAGTGATGAAGTCTTAAAAAACATTTCTAGGGACAAACATTTGGTGCAGCAGCTAAGTGCTTAGGATGCCTGCCTCTCATCTTGGAAGGTGGGGTTAAATCCTGGTTGCACTGCTTCTAATCCAGCTTCCTGCTAACGTGCACCCTGGGAGGCAGCAGGTGACGGCTCAGGTATTTGAATCCCTGACAACCCACTTGGGTGATCCTGACTGAGTTCTGGGGCTCCTGGCTTTGGCCTAGCCCAGTGCTGGCTGTTGCAGGCATTTGGGTAGTGAGCCAGTAAATGGAACATCTCTGTGAGTCTGCCTTTCAAATAAAATAGAAAACAAAAATTCTAAAAAGGAAACTAACAGTGGGCATCAGAAACTGTAAACAATCACACTTTCCTTCAGAAATTTCTTCATGGCTTTGACCACTGGTTTGAAGTCACTCAAATAACAAGACTGTCACATCCTCTCTCTTGAGAAAAAAAGACTGTAAGGAAACACGTTCCCTTGGAAAACCAGTCTTATTTCAACGACCTTTATTTCAGGTTCATTGTCAGCCCACTTCTCACTGATGGTCCCCGAACTGTAAGTGAAGGCTCTCACTCCTGTCATCTGGTTAATGTGGACCCGATCAGGCTTCTCTTGCTTGTGCAGCTGCTTCTGCCACATGGTTTCATTTCCAGCACATGATTCCTGCTTATGTGGGTGCTGGGGAGTGGGAAAAGGGACCCCGCTGCATAAACCATTCTGCTGTTAAAGACCTTGGCTGAAACATGGGAGAAAACCACAAAATAGGATAAAAGGTTTGGATATCATATGGCCTTGATTAAGTAACTTCATCTATTTGGGGCTGTTTCTTACAGGTTGATGTGAGAACTATACAAGAAAATGTATGAGACAGTGTCTGCTATAGTACCTGGGCAATAATCGTGGAGGCAGCACAGCACAGTAAACAAGATTAGTGGGTTCTAGAGGTGGCACTGGGTGTGAACCACAGCTCCACCCCGACTTGCTGCGGGTCTGTGGGCAAGACCTTCAGTCTTTCTGTGCTTGAGCTTTCTAGTCTGTAAAATGGGCAGACAATGCTGCTTGCTTAAGGGGTTATTGTGCAGACAACCCACAGAAAATGCTTAGCCCAGTGCCTTGATACATAGTGATGGTTCAGCAAATGTCCCCCTATTATTCTCCCTCCAGAAATGTTTATTTTAATCCTCCTCTAGCTCTGGTGTCCTTACCAGTAGTTAACCTGTGAAAATTTCCTGGATAATCACAAAGAGGAGGGAGGGAAGAAATGTTTGGTATAAACAGCACTTGGGGAAGACAGGGAGAAAACTACTTACTAGCAATCTATATCCATCATTATTTCCAAACCTGAAATGATTGTTCCTATTAATAACACACACTTTTTTTTTTAAAGTACAGTACTATACAATTAGTGAAAAAAAATTTACATTTAAATTTGGACTTGCCTTAGGGAGACCCAAATTTCTGTTAGTGATCAAGTTTAACATCTCTTGATAAGTGGGTAATCTATTTATCCCCTAATATATACAACAAAGTAATCTTATGCCCACTCCCAGAAATTTTATCTGAATATAATCATGATGACAAAAGTCAGACAAATTCAAACTGTGGGGTGTTCTATAGGACAATTAGCTTGGACTCTCCCCCACCAAAACCAAAGTCTAAAAAGACTGTCTTTAAAATCTGTTTTGTTTGTTTTTTAAAAAACATGGGATGACTGCTATAGATTAAAAGGGATTAAAAGACACTAAGGGATTGAAAGATATTAGAGGTATAATAACCAATGAAATATATGAACTATGATTACATCGTGGACACTATAAAATTAATTTTGAAGACAACTGAAATTTGGATATATGTGGTATTACAGAATTATTAATTTTCTTCAATATTACAATGGTGTTACTTGTCACATGAGAGTATCTATTTGCAGGATGCAAGCTTAAGTATTTTGGAATAAGTTGTAATGATACTGGTAACTTACTTTCAAATGGTTTGGCATGTAAACACACAGGTATATCCATCCTCACCCCCAACATTCCCTCACATGCATGCACACAGAGGAAAAATTAAAACCAATGTGGCAAAAAATCTTAATCATTTGCTATCCTAGGTTAAGGATATACAGAGGTTCATTGTGTTTCTCTTCTAACTCTTTAGATTTGAAAATTTCAAAGTAAAAAGTTGGGGGGAAAGCAGCAAAAGCAAAAAGTTGAGAAGGTTTACAGGTTAAAGAACTATAGCTTCGGGGCCAGCGCTGTGGCGCAGCAGGTTAACGCCCTGGCCTGAAGTGCTGGCATCTCATATGGGCGCCGGTTCGTGTCCGAGCTGCTCCACTTCCGATCCAGCTCTCTGCTATGGCCTGGGAAAGCAGTAGAAGATGGCCAAGAGCTTGGGCCCCTGCACCCACGTGGGAGACCCGGAAGAAGCTCCTGGCTCCTGCTTTGGATCGGCACAGTTCTGGCCATTACGGCCATCTGGGGAGTGAAGCAGCAGATGGAAGACCTCTCTGCTCTCCCTCTCTCTGTAACTCTTTCAAATAAATAAAATAAATCTTAAAAAAAAAAAAAAAAAGAACCATAGTTTCTCACTCTAATACTATTCTATTTCTTTTTTAAAAAAAAAGATTATTTATTTTATTTGAAAGAGTTACACAGAGAGAGAAGGAGAGAGAAAGAAGGTGGGGGGGGAGAGACAGAGAGAGAAAGAGAGGGGTTTTCCATCCGATGATTCACTCCCCAATTGGCCGCAATGGCTAGAGCTGTGTCGATCTGAAGCCAGGAGCCAGGAGTTTCCTCCAGGTCTCCGACGAAGGTTCAGGGGCCCAAGGACTTGGGCCATCTTCCACTACTTTCCCAGGCCACAGCAGAGAGCTGGATCAGAAGTGGAGCAGCCAAGACTCAAATAGCGTCCATATGGGATGCCGGCATTGCAGACTGTGGCTCTACCTGCTACGCCACAGCACCAGCCCCATGAGTTCATTCTTTGAGTACAAGGGCTATAGGAGAAAGCACAATAAATTAATGAACAGATCAGAAACTGGAAAAGATGTTAAAGAAAATTTCTTGGGGCTGGTACAGTGGCACAGCAGGTTAAACCACTGTCTACAGCACTAGCATTCTAAATGGGCACCAACTGTTCCACTTCCGATCCAGCTCTCTGCTAATGCCTCTGGGAAAGCAGCAAAAGATGGCCCAAGTGCTTGGACCAGTGCACCCACATAAGAGACCCAGATGAAGCTCATGGCCCAGCCCTGGCTGTTGCAGCCATTTGGGGAGTGAAACAGCAGATTGAAGATTATCCTTTTCTTTCTCTTACCCTCTCTCTCCTTCCCTCTGTAATTCTGCCTTTTAAATAAATTCTTTAAAAAAATTCTCTTGGTTTCTACTGACATAAATGAAGCAATAATAAGCATCATCACTAAGAACTATTCGGTGACTCTCAATCTCTGAGTATTTCACATGACTCGTAATTTCTAATTTTTCCTCTCTATGAATTGTTACTTGGCCAATAAGCACTGTCTATAGGTAATCTAGGGAAAATGAGATAATTTCCATTTTATAGTCTAGACAGACATCCTGGTCTCAGATGAATCAGGCACAAATGGGAACCTTACACCAATCATCTATCTACTCATAAAATGAACTGCACTTAAAACATGCTTGGGGATAAATGGCTATGAATGGGTGGATTCATAGCATATGCTCAAGTATTTCAGGTGGGAGGTACAGTTTACTAAACTATGGATCTACTGCCTAGATTTTCAGTGGAACAAATACTAGCCTAGGTGACAGGAGGATTCTGGGTCCAGCTCTATCATCAATACCCTTTTTGAGCCCTATTTTCTAATTCCATAAGACAGAGCCTATAATAGCCCATGGCTCTATCTACTTCATCATTACTATAGCAGTTAAATATAATGATATCAAGAAAAGAGATTTGAAAAATCTATAAAAAGCCTTATGATTTTTACAAGATAATTATTGATAATTTTTACAAATTATCAATAAAGTTAGATATTAAAATGTTAGATTTTATTGGAATTTTAGCATAACTTCATTACAAAAATAAACTTTATTGTATACCTAGAATATTGACATTTATTTTACTGTAATCACTATTAAAACTAATCCCATATTCTCCCTTTACCACACAAAGTAATTACTATTTTATAGACTATCCATTGGGGACCAGCACTGTGGTACAGCGGGTTAAAGCCCTGGTCTGCAGTGCCAGCATCCCATATAGACACTGGTTCAAGTCCCGGCTGCTCCACTTCTGATCCAGCTCTCTGCCATAGCCTAGGAAAGCAGTAGAAGATGGCTCAAGTCCTTGGGCCCTTGCACCCACATGGGAGACCCGGAAGAAGCTCCTGGCTCCTGGCTTCGGATCAGCTCAGCTCTGGCCACTGTGGTCATTTGGGGAGTAAACCAGTGGATGAAAGACCTGCCTCTC